AAATAGTCAAATTTTTAGATACTTATGACCATCCAAAACTGAACCAAGAGGATATTAACCACCTAAACAGATCTATAATACTTAATGAAATTGAAGGAATAAAAATCTCCCACAAAAAAGAAAAGTCCAGTGCCTGATGGATTCTCAGCTGAATTCTGCCAGACCTTCAAAGAAGAACTAATACTAACACTCCTTAAACTTTTCCATGAATTAGAAAGGGAAGAAACACTGCCTAACTCATTCTATGAAGTCACTATTACACTCCTCCCAAAACCGAACAAGGGCACATCCAAAAAGGAGAACTACAAGCCAATCTCCTTAATGAACACTACTGCAAAAATCCTCAATAAAATAATGGCAAACCAAATTCAACAACATATCAGAAAGATCATTCACCCACCACCAGGTGATGTTTAATCTTGATCATCAATTTAAAATTGGATTTGAACCACTTTGGAGATTAGCATAGCACACTCTGGGATGTGTCTGTAAGGGCGTTTTCAAAGATAATTAGAGAAGAAGAAACACTCTGAATGTGGGCAGCACCATCCAACTGACTGGGGTCCCAGATGTAACTAAAAGGGAAGGAGGAAGTTCACTAGTGCAAGGCATTTTCCTTCCTGTCTACCATGAAGTAAATAACTTTGCTTGAGAGCCACAAAGTTCTGTCTCACCGCAGGTCCACAACAATGGCGCAAGCTGGTCATGAATTAAAATCTCCAAAACAGGTCTCTGTGACCCAAAACAAGCCTTTTCTCCTTTTAAATTATTTCTCTAAGGTATTTGTCACAGTGGTAGAAAGTCTAAGTAACATAGGGATGTTTAAGAACCAAACTAGAATAGACTAGAAAGATAAGACAAAACAAAATACCTCTATGTGTATATTATATTTATTTACACACTAAATATATGAGTGCATACATTAGTTTAGTAATACATCCTGTCTATTATAAAACATGCAGATATATACAATCATTTTCAAAGGAAGATATAAAAGGGTATAAAAATAGGTACAGGAAAGAGCTTCTCATGCTTTTTTTCCTTTACCCATTGAGTCATTTTTTGAATGTCCTGAGTGTTAGGCACTGCTCTTTAGACATCGCTGCTTTCTACTTGATGGTAGAAAAGGGCCTACACTGCCACATAGTGACTTACCCATGGCCACGAAACTGCCTGCTGATAGCTGTTACAGATGTAGACTTTGGTCTGTGGTCTTGGAAAAACAGGAATATTTGATAGACCAGTTTCCCATTAACTTGTGTAGTTTTATCCATCTAGGACTCTCAAATTTCTTATTAAATAACTAATGCCTGTTTTTTTTCTTTGCTCTATGGAATTACAGAATTGTACCTAAGGATTCAATAAACAGATAGAAATTATTATTTGTATTCTTATTCATTCATATATTTACTGAGTACTCCATGCCAAATACTGCCCTGGGAGGTGAGAAATAGATTGAAATAGGCATTAAAAAATGACTTATCTTCTGGTAATTTGACCTGGTGGCTGCAGGATGAGCATCCCAGGAGAGGTGAGCAGCATGTTTATGGGCCCTGAGACAACAATGTGCCAAGTGTGCCAGGGAAGAAACAACCGTGGGTTGGGTATGAGGAAGGGCTTGAGGTCAAAGAAGTAATGGGTGGAGGTAAGGGGGTTGGAGTCACAGGTTCTATAGGACCATGTGGATCATTATAAGAAATTTAGCTTTTACTGTGAAATCTTTGGAAAGTCTTTGCATAATTTTTAGCAGTGAAGTGGTGTTATGTGAAACACTTTGAATTATTTAGGCTTCTTGGTTGAGAACAGATTGGAGCAAGGGTGGTGTACAAGGGTAGAAGCATGGACACCAGTTAGACTTATCATGAAAAATATTAAAATATTATAAAAGAAAGAGATGATATTGGTCTACATTACATTGGTAGCAGTGGTCTAGTTCTGTGTATTTTAGAAGTACTAATTTAATCTAGTCTGTGAGCAAGGGGAATGTTAAGGATGACACCAAGAGTTTGTCTTTTATAATTGGAAGAATAGAGTAACTTGTTCTTAAGTAGGAAAGATAGAATGTCCGGAGGCTGGCTTATATATTCAGTGTTAGATACTGATGGAGTCTGTAACCAAATGCAGGTATCAGATATAGTCTGATACCTATGCAGTGCCCTTTAGAAATCCCTGCTTTCTACTTGAGGGTAGAACAGGGACTGCCACATGGTGACTTTCCCATGGCCACGAAGCTGCCTGCTGTTGGCTATTATGGACATAACAATTGGATATAGGATATGGGATATAGTCTGGAGGCAATTGGATATAGTCTGGAGTTTGGGAGAGGGATCAGACTGGGCCTCTCAATTTGGGGGTCAAGAGCATATGCATGGCATTTCAAGCCATGGGACTGAATGATCTCACCTAAAATTGAATATAGTAAAAATATAGGGGAAAGAATCAAATGAATTCTGAATACATTTTGTAGTTAGAGTTGACAGGATTTGCTTGCAGTTTAAGGATGCCTCCAAGGATTTGGGGGAAAGAAAAAGCTATTGATAAACTGATAGTAAGGCTATCCAATATTGGAGATAAAGAAGAATCAGCAAATTAGACTAATAAGGAGTGGTTAGAAAAGCACAGATCAAGCCAGGCAAGTGTTCTGTCTTGGATACTAAGTGAAGAAAGTGTTTCAAGGAGCAAGCAAATGGTCACCTGTGTCAAATGCTACTCTATTTTTGAGTTTTCAACTAAAAATAGCCTTTGAATTTCATGTGAAGGAGAGTACAGTCAGTCTTACTTGAAAGCAATGTCAACTGTGTGATGGAAGCAAAAAAGTTATGATGGGAATTGCTTAAATGAGAACAAAAGAGGAAAAATTGTAGGCAGAGATCATAAGATTATTGACAATCCTTTTAAGGAGTTTTGTGTGAAGGAGAGAAATTGAGGCAATGTTTACAGGGGGAAGTATGATGTATTTCCTTGTTCTTTTCATTTTAGGATGGAACAAATCCTAGCATATATTGATGCTAATAAGAACTAGTCAAAAAAGAGGGAAACTTTTAAGATAAAAAAGAGCAAGGGAGAGGGTTTGGCTGAGAATGGAGTCCAGTACACACAAGACTGATCTTGGCCTTTGATGGTAACATGGACACATAATCTACATGAACAAGAGAGAAAGTAAAATATTTTGTTTTGGCAAGGTGCATGATAGGTAGCAGTTAGACATGAGTGATGGAGATATGCAAAGAGAACCGTAATGGAGGATTGCTGATTCAGTGGGTACATGCTGAGATCTCTCTCAGTCATAGTCTGCTTGTTTATATGCAGCAAGGTAATCTTTTCTGGACCTAAGCTTCTGGTTCCACATTCTTGTAAAACACCTGTGAAACATAAATTCCCAATAAGTGATAGGAAGGAAGATTGGTGTGAACTGATAAGAAGAAGGCCGTAGATTGCAAACTCCTCCTCTGCTCTGAAATGTATACACATCATTTATGGTACCCTGAACCTGGTTCCAAGTGAAAAAAACAAGCTCTGATCTAATCCACTTAAGTTGTGCTAGTTTGACCAGGAGTTGCCTTTTGCCCATTACAATGTGATTATAATCTCATCGTACTTTTAAATTTTCTCCACTTCCCACCATGGGTTTTTCTTCCGTGGCTATGAGTCATTGCCTGCACAGAGTGATTCTTGAACATGTCATTATTTTTTCACAGCTTTCATATCAATTACTCCTTGTAGGCTGGTCTTGATGTTCCATGGAACATGATGTTCCAAGCCCCTTAAAATTAATAAAACCTATGCCTCTGTAAACGTGATCATCATCTCTACCTCTCTTTTTGAGATGACCGTCTTTCATCTATGAAAGTGTCTCTCTATTCGAAGAAACTTTCTATTCTAATAAACTATACTTTCCACTACTCTGCTTTGTGTCTTTCCTGAAATCTTTCCATGGAAGCAAGAATTGAGATAGCTGTTTTGATCTTCTCATAAAGTAAATGGGTAGATGATTTGGAAGCTTGTAGAATTTCCCTTGTCTTTCCCAGAGAATCAGGAAATAGGCAATTAGCTGACTCTGAAGAGAGAGACGATATGAAAGATATGAAATGGTCAAGGGAAGTGGGAATGTTAATGGACAGAGGAATATCTAAGAATTTCTAGGAAGATTAACAGATCCTGTGAGATGATTTTCCTGAACTAAAAATGAAAGAAGGCATTGGCTGTGTTCTTCCCTTTAATCACATTATGGTCTCAGGGCAGATAAAAGAATTTAATTTTACTGTGGGTTAGGTGGTTTGGGTAAATAAGAAACAGAATGGCGCAAAATTATTGAAGGTACATGCATGAGAATGGTTTTAACGATTGACAGTGGAATTCAACTTAGTTGAGGCAGAGAAGTGAGGGCACAGGGAAAGATCAGGTTCAGGGAAAAGTGGTAGGATTAATGAACTGTAGATTCATTGAGTTTTGTTTTCAAAGGACTTTTGGAATTTCGTGAATAGACAAAATGAGGTGGAATATGAGCAATGGTATTCAAAAACTGTGTTTGAAATCCAGAGATTATAGTTATTATAAAAAATGAGTTGTAGGCTGTGGCCATCAAAGTGCGGGGTTGGGAGTAGGCTAGTGGCAATCACTGGAAGAGATCCATTCTCACATTAAGAAGGTAAATCTTAAGTTTGTGAGAGTTCAAGCCAGTCACTCCATCCTTGAAGGGGAAAGTGCTATTTGTAAATTAGCAGGTTTCTCTTCAACAGCCTATGAGCCAGCAGGAATGCTGCAGATGTGGCAGTAAGGCCAAGCACACAGTTGACAACCCGGGTCACAACTGACACTGAACTGCGTTACCAGGCAACGGAGGCGCTCACCTACTGGACTGCAGCTCCCAAGGCTTCGCGTCTTCCCGCACCTCGGCTTTTGGCTGGGGCTGGAGGGGGCTGCACGCTAGGTGGGAGGTGGGAGGGCTGACGATTAGGAGCCCCAGGAATATCCTGGTTGAACTGATGAACTTCACCACCATGAAGAAGCGATTCAGCTTCTGGAGGAAGAAGAATGAGTCCCACAGCCGCAGCTCAGACCTGTCCATAAGTGTGGTCAGCACCTCCTCAGAGCCATACACAAGCGGGGGCTACCATCTTCCAGATAAGCACTTAAAGAAGCTTCACAAAGCTGCTTCAGCCGGGGATTTAGGGAAGTTGAAGGAGTACCTGCAGCACAAGAAACATGACGTGAACTTGCGGGACAAATGTCACAGGTGACCAAAGCTGAAGAGCTTGTGGGAGCAAGGCTGCATGGAAGGGAGGCTGGGGCCAAGAGGTCCACCAACCAGAAACAAAACATGTCTGGGCTCTTTGACAGTGGTTGTCACACTGAATTTTCCTGAGCAGAGAGTTTGTCATTGGTTGAAGGGTAACATTTCAACTTGTGACTTTCTATTTAATTTTTTGTGAATGCTTCCCTGGGTGTTTGAAGGCTTGTCCTCCCCACCATTATTTCATCCAAAACTCCCACGGCCTTAATCTTCACTGTTCACTCTGTTCTTTCCCCATTTTGCTGTTTTGCCCCTTGGAAAAGGTTTGCCCCAGCCCCTAATATTTGCCATTTTACTAAGAGAAGAAGAGAAAAAAGGGAACAGAAACAGTAGTATTAAGACTTGGAAACACCAAAACAATTAACATATATTCAAAACAGGAAAGAAATTTGTTAACTTTACTTACGATGTAACTAATTTATTGGGTAGAGGATGGCTTTTCCCTCTTTTTTGTTGCACATTCCTTAGCCTTAATTTGCTTAGTTTTGAATTAATTTACTCAACAAATACATGCTGCAAATTTATGTAACAACTGTGTAAACTAGGCAGTATGTTAACTCTGGGATAAAATGGTGAATAAATGTTACTACATGAATGTGTAATAACTACATTCATTACCACTGTACTAAAATCTGAAAAGTTTTTAATAGCCCAAAGAGTCATGGATGCATCACATTCAACTAAGTAGCCTTAGTTACACCTTATTTTAGTTACAGTTTATATGAAATGTCAGTTCTATGTTCTTTGATAGCTCCACATTTCTATATATAAGGCCATATCATTTGCGAACAAGAACAGCTTTTCTTCTTCCTTTCTGATTGGATACCTTTCTGATTGGATGCCTTGGTGGGACTTCTATTGTTATGTTGAATAAAAGAGGTATCCTTGCCTAGTTTCTGATCTTGGAGGGAAAGCATTCAGGATTTGTTTATCTATTTGTTAAAGGAGAGTTTTGCCACTCATAGTAGTCTTGACTTGCAAGTTTTTCTTTCAGCACTTTGACTATTGTTGAGTGTAATGCTAGCTGTGGTGTTTCAGTCTTCCTTACATTTAGGCAGTGTCCTTCTGTTCCTAGTTGTTGGGTTTTTTATCATAAACAAATGATAAATTTTCCCATTCTTTTATCCTTTATTCTATTTGTTAATATGGGTTATAACCTCTTTCTCTCTCTCTTTTTTTCTCTCTTTTGTCTCCCCTCCCTCCTACTCCTTCCCCTCTCCTAAAAAGAAGCACTAGGCTTCATTGGGATTTAGATTTCTGGTTAAATAAGTAGTATGAGTTAAGGATTAATGATGTAAACTAAAGCCTTACAATGGGAACATAATATGTTGATAAAAATTAAGAATTTTTAATAAATGAACTAATAATATTGATTTTAAAATATTTCTCTAAGATATCTGTGAATATACTTTGTGCATTCAGCTGTTTTATTTTTTATTTTCTTGAGACAGGGTCTTACTTTCACAGCTCAAGTTGACCTCAACTAGTGATTCTTCTGTCTCAGCCTCTCATTGCTGGAATTAAAAGTATGAGCCCACATAGTTTGCTTTAGAATGTTTTTTATTTTTGACATTAGGTAGAAAATGTTCATCTTGGCCTCAGAGTATTTACATTATATATGTGCACAACAAAGACATTATTTTCTGCATACCCCATTTGTGAGCTCCTGAATTTAAATACAGTTAAGTTTAAAAATTTAAATGAAATGAATACAAATGTTAAATCTGTATATTCTTAAAACATTTTGTCTTTTAAACCAGGCTGACTCCTTTAAAAGGATGCCAAATAAGTAAAAACTCTTCTTTATAAGACCTTCTTGAAGATTTTGATGATACAGTAAATGTTGTACTGTTTCTTATCTACTCAAGATAGATAAACTCTAATTTTCAATTTTTCTAAAAGACCATAGGTTATATTGTCCAATACGTAGAAATCTGAATCTTTCATGGCTATCTTATTTTATTGAACTTGTGGCTGATTTCCTATTTTGAAGCATTTAAATGGGCTCTGAGATTTTTATCAAATATTTGTCAAAAGAGGCTTTATACTTCAACAGGAAGAGTGAAGTTATCTATCAGGGGTGCATAGCCACTTTTAGGAAACATTGGAAATACTCAAATTCCCTTTTCTTTCTCTTAGAACAGTTGTCTTTTTGGGGGATGGTAAGGTACTTAATTAATTGAAAAAGAAAACTGGATTGTAGTCAGAGGTAAATCTAATGGTTTAGTGGAAACCACCAAAGTTCCTTTGGACTAAATTCTTAAGTTCAGCAGCTTAAGAACACGGATAAAAATGTTTTTATGCAATGGCAAGGAGTTATCTTAGGCAGGCTTAAAGGTGGGTAGCCCTGGAGTTTTGGTTGAGAGCTGGAAAAGCTTCCTATTACATAAGGAAGTTCATCCTTAAGACAAACCAACACAAAAGTTAATCTGTGTTTTCTTTTGTATCAGGATTATTGAGAAACCTCAATAGTAATTAGAAATTTAGGGATAGTTCATGAAGACCATGATGTGTGACAAATCATTTTTTCTCCTACAATAAAGAATTTCTTTCTAATGACTGGAAAGTATGGGTTCCTTAAATTCATATTGTCTTTTTCACGCAGGGTACTAATTAATTATACATTACTTCTGGTTCCATTCTTCTATCCAGACTGACTGTTCTCTTCCGGATTGTGGTCTGTCTTCATCTAGGGAATGATATAAATGATTAGAGTTCTGCTTTTTTTAATGTTATAGTTACATTACAATCTTTCCTTTTGTAATTATATTCAGGTAACCTGAACTGGAATTCTCAGATTTTTTGTTTATTTATTTTTCTTTATAGCTGCTTCTTTTTTTAATTAATTATTCATTTATTCACATGTGCATACATTGTTTGGGTCATTTCTACCCCCTGCCCTCCTCCCCTATCCTCTTCCCCCCTTCCCTGTTCAGTTCCAGGCAGGTCCTGTTCTGCCTTTATCACTAATTTTGTTGAAGATGACAAAGCGTTTTTGCTAGTTGAGTTGAGGGTAGCTACACAGAAATATTCCTAGCATTGCTTTCATGTACACGTGTTATGACCCATGTTAATTCATCTCTAACTGATCTTTACACTGGTTCCTGATCCCTACTCATGGTAACCTCTATCACTTTAAGGTTTCTGTATTAGTTCTTCTGGAGTGGGGACATCAAACACTTTCATGTTTTGGGTTTTCTACCTATTCCTATATCGTCCGTTTGTGCTGTCCCCTTGTCACGTGATCCAAGTCCAGCTACATTGCTGCATTTGCCCTAGATCTAAAGTCTGCATATGAGGGAGAACATATGATTTTTGGTCTTCTGAGCCTGTTGCTGGTGGTGTTTTGATGATGGCTTTTCTAACAGGGGTGAGGTGGAATCTTAGTGTGGTTTTGATTTGCATTTCCTTTATGGCTAGAGATGGTGAGCATTTTTTCATGTGTTTTTTGGCCATTTGAATTTCTTCTTTTGAGAAAGTTCTGTTTAATTCAGTTGCCCATTTCTTTATTGATTCATTGATTTTGGGAGAGTTTAGTTTTTTAAGTTCCCTGTATATTCTGGTTATCAGTCCTTTGCCTGATGTGTAGCTGGCAAATATTTTCTCCCACTCTGTGGGTGTTCTCTTCAGTTTAGAGATCATTTCTCTTGATGAACAGAAGCTTTTTAGTTTTATGAAGTCCCATTTATCTATGCTATCTCTTAGTTGATGTGCTGCAAAGTTATCTAATTTTGAAGTTTTGAGGACCAATTTTTTTGCTACTATTCTAGATCAATAACAGGTCTGTTTAAGTATATGTGAACTTCTTCTAAGAACCTATAAGGAAGTAGGGAAATGACATCAAAGATCTCTTGTTTAGGGCATGGGCTATCTATATATGGACTCTGCATAGTAAAATTATCTAAAAACAAGGATATAATGATGTCACCTGGTTTTATTTATTTATTTTGATTGTACTTGGGTTTGAACTCAGGGCCTGACACTTGCTAGGCAGGTACTCTACCACTTGAGTCCCCACCCCAACCCCAACCTTTTTGTGCTTTAGTTATTTTTCAGATACATCTTCTTATTTTTGCCTGGGGCCAGCCTGGGACCCTGATACTCCTGTTTATGCCTCCTCTGTAGCTGGGACCACAGGCATGTACTATTACACTCAGCCTGTTTGTTGAAATGTAGTTTTCACTAACTTTTGGCCTGGGCTGGCTTCAAACTGCAGTCTTCCTGACGTCGAGTTCTGGAACTGTAGGGATTACAGGCAGGATCCATGGTGCCTAGCTGCAGTGATATAACTTAATAAAAAGTTTATTTGGATGGTCATCCTGCCATTCAAACTGACTTCCAACCCCTAAGACTTGAAGTTTAGTTAAGTAGGTTAAAAATTTCAAAGTTAATTCTTGCAATTGTTTGAAGTGTGGTTGGGAGGGGGTGGTTGATGGGAAGAGACCATGAAGGCCATGTAAATAATGTACAGTGTAAGTCTAATTGGAATTGTCACTATGAATCCCCCTGTATAATGAATATAGCCTAAATAAAATTTTTTTTAAAAAAATTTTCAAAGTTTTAATGGAGCTAATGTATTCTGTTATACTTCATAAATATGTGTCTAGTTTCTACTTAAAGTTCTCTCAGAAATAAGTGGAATAACTTCATATTAAGTTGATGTCTACAATTTGGAGAGTCCCTAGGCTTTCACCCTTGTATTCATTTTTTAGATGCAAATGGCACCTTTACTATTGGGGCAAAGCATGCCATGGGACAGGCAATGTCCTTTTCTTCTGTTACCTATTAGATATGTCTCAGGTTTTGGAGAGCAATTCTAAATTTGATTTTGAGATCTAATTTTACCATTCTTTCCAAGGTCCAGGCACCACTTTGGTGTTTGAAAAAACAACAACTATTTTAAAACTCATTATAGCTAAATTTTCCTTGAAGTGAATCAAGTTAAGTATTTGATCTTCAAGGCATTTGCATAATCTTTTAAATTCCCTCAAAAGCAGTTAGGATTTACATAAATATAAATAAGTACATGAAGCAAAAAACTTACTGTCTGGCTCATTCTTGGGTATAAGTAACTTCTCAAACGAGACTCACGCGTAACTTTGTATTTCATTATATTGATATAGAACACCATTGCATCTGGCCTGTGCTAACGGATATGCAGATGCTGTATGTCTCTTAATTGAGAAACAATGCAAAATCAATGTCCAGGACAGTGAAAACAGATCCCCATTGATTAAGGTGTGTTCTATTTTTTCTTTTCAATTCGAATATTTTTGCGTTTTCCTGGTTAACTTGTATTGATTTTTATGCCTTATTAGTGTCGTATTCTCAGTAGGAAATTTGCTACTCGTTTATTCTTGTGTTGACAGGCAGTACAGTGTCAGAGGGAGACTTGTGCTACTATTCTTCTAAACCACGGTGCTGACCCGAACCTGGTGGACTGCCATCATAATACTGCTCTCCATTATGCTGTTTGTGGACAAAGTGTCTCATTAGTTCAAAACCTGCTTGAACACAAAGCTAATCTAGAAACTAAAAATAAGGTACTTTTCTATGTAAAAAACTTGTATTTTAGAAAGCAACTAAAGAAGGTATTTATTTCATATCACAGAAATATATGTTATACAGAGAGAATTTTCTAAACTGAAATCAGGACAAAGGAGACTAGATTATCAAAACCTGATAAAATTTTCCTTTATTTAAGGTCTTTCTGCATTACATTGCCAATTATAATCCCGACCTCCAAAGTAACATCATATTTAAAAATGTAATTGTTGAAAGGGCTATACCTAATGAGAAATATTAGGAACCCTTATACGTGAGTGTTGATAAAAATCTTAAGCTCTTCTTTTATTTTTTACTATTTTATTCACATACTCACAAATAACAATAGTAGGTTTAAATTAGAAAATTGATTATAATATTGAAAGTAATCTAACTCCTTTCGAGATATTATGGACAATTGATGAGAGCATCTTGTCTTAAAAGAGTATCTTGTCACTTCACTTCACTGATATTTAGGGTACATGATAGCTAAAAATAACCGCCAGTCTTGGAGGTTTAAATGAAACCCTCAAAACCCCATTATGACCTTATGAAGTGTGAATTGGTGGTAAGCATTATGAATTAAATGATAGATGCTAATCACTTAATTAGTTCTGGCTACTCTTGTTCATAACTTGAATTAAGCCTAAAGTAGAAACTTTAAGTTTTTAACTGACCCAACCCTATTTGTTTTCTTGATCTTTAAAATCATATTTTGTTATGTATCAAAAATGTAAAAGGCATGTAACATTCATACAATAATTTCAATCGTCATTTTGAAATAATATTTACAGGATGGATATACTCCACTTCTACTTGCTGTTGCTGAAAATAATGCAAATATGGTAAAATTCCTTCTGAAGAAAGGGGCAGATGTGAATGCTTCAGATAAGAATCAAAGGTATAATTAGTAAAGTTAAATATGATATCATATATCTACAATGACTTAAGATGGTGATATAAATATATATGTATCTGTATGTATTTGATTTTTATTTACACATTTGATATTAGGAAAAGATTATCATATGACATGATTTGGGGAAAATTTCCTAGACTCCCAGAATCTGTGTTTCTATCAATAAAATCAAACAGTGGACACATTGGTAGATTTATGTTGTTGTTATTGCTATTTTTAATAGTATTAGAATATTACATACAATAAATATTGTAGTTAAATGGGGGATAGGGTATTCAGAGTCCTAGACACTCCCTTCCATGGAAATTTGAGGCATCTTGAAAACACTAGGGAGCTGAAATTGAGAACCATTGAGCAACTGCTTTTTAGGGACTCTGTCTTTAGACACCATCCTGATCTGTAATTAGCATATGATTTTAGTAGATTGGTTTTTCTTTTTGCATTTTTGCTTGATTCTTTTTCTAAAAGATACCCTATATTCTATAGTCAATAGAGAGGTCTAAATTTCTATTCTCTTGCTACAGAACAGCCCTTATGATTGCTCTCAGTATCGAACCAACAAGTTTAGTAAGTCTTCTTCTTCAGCAAAATGTGGATCTATCTTGTCGAGATATTTATGGATTCACAGCTGGTGAATATGCTTCTTTTAATGGTTTTACCAGGTGAGTGTTACTGTATGTCTTTGAACATTTGATATCTCGGCAGTAGGGGTAACCACATTTAAACTCTGAATTTAAGGGTCCAGAGGTCATTTATTTCCTCTGTTTGTAGGGTCCAGTCAATATAGGAGTTGCAGGTGGGCTGAGTCAACAGATTGAACTACCAGGGCATGGGATTTGGCAGTATGCTGGGACAGGGATGGAACCAGAATCATAGATATTAATAAAACATATGAGCAATCAAGCTGGAGAATAGATAATTAATCCACACCAGGCCCTTTCATTCTTTTTCAGATCTTAGTAATGTAAAGATTTTATATATGTTTTGAGTATTTATTAACATTTCAAAAGCTAACTTCAATTTGATAAGCTTCCAGAATTCTTAAGTATTTTCTCATTGTATCCAGAAAACATTTTTATGTATGAAAATGCACTTCTGATTTTTAATAGCCAATAAGAAATAAGATACAATATATTGAAATTTAATTTGTAGTTAACAGAATGAAACAACATGCACAATGTTTTCCTTACAATTTTACTTTAAGGGCAATTAGAATTATTCACAGGCGTTTTCTAGTTTACTGTTTTTTCTAGTTTTATTGGCTTCTTCTTTCATTTATTTTATTTACAATTTACTAATAACTTTTTATCATTAATCTTATATGAAAAGTATAGTTGGTGGGGTGAGAATAATCATCATATACACACTCAGATATTTATTTTAAATAATAACTTTAGACAATAAGTAATTCATATTCTATTAATTGTATATACTATTATTAAATATATTGTTTTCTTCTTTGTAGTATTGGACATGAGCACTTTGTTTTACCTTTGTTTAAACAAACTCTCTCTCTCTCTCTCTCTCTATATATATATATATTGAAATTACTGGTGAATATCCATACTATAAAAGATATTCCTTTAAATATGGAAATTTCTCCATTACTTAAAAAGTTTGATATATGAAACTAGGAGACACTGTGTCTGTTCAGTAATGTATCTATTGGTCAAAAAGTAGTACTTGTGTATTTGAAATAATTTGTTTACATTTGTAAGTCTTGTGACTTGTAAGTCATCATTGAGTAGTTAGATAGAAGGAAATATCACAATCTTTTTTAAGAATAAAGGGAAGTATGTTTACCATAAAGGGATTTTTGTTTTGAGAGTGTTTTGATATATAGGCAAGGCTGGCTTAGAACTCACTATGTAGCCCTGGCTGGTCTTGAACTCTTTCTGGATTCTTCAGCCTCCGTCTCCCAAGTACTATGATTACAAGCATGCACCACCATCATGCCTGGCTACTCAGAGAGTTCTTATTCTCTAAATATTTTCAATGTTGAAAATTTTAAAATAATCAAATTCTTTTTCTTTTTCTTTTGTTTCAAAGAAGTGAAAGGGAAGAGAAGTAATTAAAAAAATTATGTATTTATTTATTTTTAGTTTTTTGAGACAAAGTGCTGCTATATATCCCAGACAAGCCTCAACTTTGAGATTCTCCTGTCTGGCTTCCTGAGTGCTGGGATTACAAGCATGCACTACCACATCCAGCAAGAGAAGTAACTTCTAATGACTAAACAATTACATCTAGAATTGGGAATCATTATCCTTTAATAACATGGGCAAATGGCTCTTCTGAGCTGCAATCTAATTCCCCCTTCCCTTTTACTGTGTTTTGTCCCTTTTGCAGTAGTAGCTAAGATTTCCATAATTGGTTATTTTGTTTGAGAAGCTGTTGTTTGTTTAATATATTTGAACACATGGACTCTGCTTTTTAGCATCATCTGTTAGTTCTGGTACATAGGGCCTATGGCTTAGTAAGAGTAGAAGCATAACAACATTTCTCGTATAGTTTGTAAAAAATAAGTGAAACGGGCTGAGGATGTAGTTCAGTGGTAGAGCACTTGCCTAGCATGTGCAAGACCCTAGGTTGGATTCCCAGAACCATGGGAGAAGAAAAAGCAAAACTGTATCAGCATTAATATTTAGTTTTATTTTATTTTATAGTTAACTTTAACTCATACATTCCTTCTTTCCCTTCACTGAAATATTGAAACCATAGGCCTATTAATGAGTATCAAGAATAAGCTCTTTTAAGGCATGGAGAAAAGAAAGGCATTCCTCATGTGTTTCAGTCCCTGACTGAGTTAATTGTCTTTACTTTGTTAATTTACTGTTAAACCCAAGGGCTGTGAGCTGAATTTTGTTATCCTAACAGTCATATGCTAAAGCCCTCACCCTATTACCTCAGGGTGTGAATATATTTGGAGATAGGGCATTTAAAGAGATAATGATGTTAAAATAAGGCCAATGGAATGGCACTAATCCAATCTGACTGATTTCTTTATAAGAAGAAAAAATTACTGCATAAAGAGAAATACGAGGGATGCTTGTGCACAGAGGGACAATTTACATGAAGAGACAGCAAGATGACAGCATCTAGAGAGCAAGGAGAGTGAGTCCTGGTACAGGTTCTTCTCTTTTGGCTTTCAGTGGGTACCAACACCACTAGACCGTCATCTTGAACTTTCAAACTGTTGGACTATAGGAAAATAAATTCCTGTTTAAAACACCCAGTTTTGTTATAACTGGGTGTTTTGTTATAAAAGAGACATAGCAAATAAATATGCCAGCTATGTTTTCTACTTCGTTAATAGCTTTTTAAATCATGTTTGCAATAGTAGGAAGAGGTGCCAGAGAATGAAAGGACATAAAATAAACATGGTGTTTGTTAACAGAGTAGGCTTGAGGAGGGAAATATGAAACATACTGGGGAAAGTTTTGATTTAGTAATGATATGTTATGAATTGAGTTAAAATTTTTTTTGGCAGTACTGGGGTTTGAACTCAGGGTCTCATGCTTGCTAGGCAGGCACTCTACCACTTGAACCACTCCACCAGACCAGACTTAAATTTATATGTATGCTGAAATTCGTGCATAACTTCTCTATGGGTAGATATCATCACTTAATAGCCAATTATGGAAAGTGTATGAAAGCTGAACAAACACCTTACTCTGAAGATACAACTATGTATGACACTTGTGGAATAGAAGAGCTGAAGAAAGGTAAGACGATAACTGTGCAAGTAGTTTTCCTTGTTGCTTTTTATTCATTTTTTGTATAGGAAACAGCTTTCTTAAGTAATGTTTAAATTAGGCATTAAAAATTTCCACTATTTTGAAATGTTAAATCATTTTAAGAATTGTTCTTAAGAATATTTGTGATTACGATATTCTGGCACTGTGTTGACTAAAAATGCAATGTAAAAATACTGAATGGGTAAGATGTTTTTAACTCATAGTCTCAAGTCATTTTAAGAAACAAAAATTTTCTTATATATTAGATTTTAATAGATAATATAAAACTATAAAATTTAAATCTTAATATAAGGATATTTTAAATAAGTATACTTGAAAATTAATATATACCAAATAATTACATAAAATTAAAAATTAACATTATTTACATTTGGCTCATCACTAAAATATTTTTGGCATTCATTTTAAAAAATACAACCATTTAGGTCTATAAAACATATCTTTTTTTGGTGAATATGTCTTACACTGACTTTTTTTTGTTAGATGAAAGAACAATTCTTATAACTAGTCTCCTACCTTATCCTTCACTCACAGTGTAAAACAGATAAAACAAAAGGACAAAAAGGAGGTATGATGATAAACTGGAGATTATGTTAGCTGATAAAAACAACTTAAAGGAGGGAGACTTATTTCAGCTCATGGTTCCAGTTCATGCTGACTGGCCCCATTGTTTCTGGGCCTGTGGAGAAACAGTGCCTCATGGCAGAAGGGTATGGTAGAGCAAAGCTGCCTCAAGGAAGCACAGAGACCCAGAGAAGGGAAGGGTCTGGGGACAAGACATATCCTTCAAAGGTATGCCCCCCACTGACCTGCTTCCTCTAAGCAGACCCAACTATCTAACTGACCCATTCAGCTATGAACTCATCAGTGGATTAATTCATTGATGAGGTTAGTGTCTTCATCACCCAATGGCCTTTCATAGCACCACCAGCTGGGAAGCAAGCCTTCCACACATGACACTTCATATCTGAACTGTATAGAGATTATACAAATGTCACAAGTATTCAAACTTTGTCAGCTCCCTCCAGTCTATGGTGATGGTAGTTACAACAATGCTTGGCCCTATTGATTCTAGCTGTGTAAATTTAAAAAAGAATTTCCCTGAATTCCTCTTTGTGTACATTATTAAATTTTGCTTTCTTATACCTCTTTTTTTTTTTGCTTTAAAGAAGAAAATGGTCACACATCTATAAGAAGTGCTTTAGTTCTCTGATTTATACTTTCTTAAGGGAAAAAAATGAAGTAGAAACTACAGAAAAAACATTCCTATATTTTGAATGTCTCCTGAGGATAAACATTTAAAGCTATCCCCATTTTACCCTTGCAATTTATGTTTTTAGTTTCAAGGGAAATGTTGGTTTTTCATATATTTTAAGGCATAATAGAAATATTAGGTCAAGAATATTACCAAAAGACACTGCAAAAGATAGTGGACTTAAAAAATTGTAGTTCTGTCAGATTTAAAGAGGACAACATAATAATTTCTTAAGAAGACTATAAGATATAGAAGTATCAAAGCAAAATTATAATCATGTTATAGCTATAACCTACAATTTAAGAAATATACTTAGGAGTGGAAATATTTGTATATAAATAAAGATATTGTAAATATCATTTGTTTTCTAGATATGTAACTTCACTTCTACAAATCCTTTGTACTTCCTTGGATTAGAAAATTATATTTTGAAAGAGCAGTTAAGTGAACCACCAGCATTTCCAATAACTAGCCATTTGAAGAGAAGTTTGTTGAATGAAGAAATTTGTTTTTCACTTCAGAAGATATGAAGAAATCTCAAAAGACAAACATCTATATTACAAATCACAAGTTGAAAAGATCCAATTTTACTCAGAGTATAGGCAGAGAAAAATTGTAGTCACAATATTGAATGGAGTAGTGATAAGAGTAAACTGTGTTAGGGATGTGTTAGAATATTTAAATAAAATAAAAATATATAAAATAGAGAAAAAACTATAAGTCATCCTGTGTAAATGGAAATTTTCTTTTACTTACAAGTACTTCCATTGAGTAAAAACTTTTTTTTTAGAAATAATAGTAATACATATTCAGAACACTTGGGTTTTATAAAACAAAGAAGGAAAGAAAACACATGAACCGTAGTCTCACCACTTGGAGACATATCTTAACTTTTTGGTATGTTTCTATAATCTTTTTAAATTGCTTAGATTTTTTTTCCTTCAAGAGAATTTGTAATTTGAGTTTTCTTTTTAAAAGCACAACACAATGCATGCAGTTTCCCCTGTACTCACTCCAGTATGTTCTGACTTCAAGGGCATTCCCTGCAAGACTTCTTTAGCTGTTACTGGGGACAGATGGGGTCTCGGTGGCTGTTCTGTCATTATATCACTAATTGCATTACAAGTTATTCTTTTCCTCTTTACTTTTTAGAATGGATACTCCATGATAACTTGGAGTTTTTGTTTCCCTACCATTTACAAAATACCTGGTTTAGGGCTGACTGAGTGGGTGAAGTAGTAGAGTGCCTACCTTGCAATTGTGGGGGCCTGAGTTCAAACCCCAGTACCACCAAATAAATAAATGAAATACCTAGTTATTTATTTATTTTATTTAAGTAAGTAAATAAATGCAATACCTAGTTTTATAGTAGATATTCAATCTACTGAACATATAGGAATAGCTGACACATGTCAGGTACTGTTCCAAGAGTTTTATATATCTTAACTCATATGATCATCACAGTCTTGTTGAGATGAGTACTCTTTAGGATGCTCAAGGTTACTGAGTAAGCTGACAGCTGGACATAAGCCCATATACTCTGGCTTTGAACCTAGTCAGTTTAAAACCAAAATGTGTACCATTAACCACTATACCACATTATTTCTATCATGAATTGATGAATGTACCATCCTTATAAACTATATTTATAATTTCTCAGAAGGAAGAGTTAGTTTAGTGCTATTTGTAACTTACTCAAACCACTCATTCTTTTAAATACATTTCTTGAACTTCTTCTAGTGCTGGGTGGTATTGAAGTACTAAACTGAAGGAAACTGCCTGACAGATATGGAGATCAATAAACAGTTTCTACTATGGTTTCAATCTATGGTTCTTAACTAGGAGCAGTTGTGGCCCCCCCGCCCCTTCACCTCCTGGGAACACTTGGCAATGTCTGGGCTGGAGAGATTTTTGTTGTGAACACTGAGGAGAATGCTGCTAAATATTCTATGCTGCAGGATAGTGTGCACAACAAATCATTATCTGGTTGAAAATGCAAAAAGTGTTGAGACCGAGAGCTTGGATCTAGAGTCTATATTATATGCTGGGGAGCAAAGCTGAAAAAGGTATGTTTTTCTCTGCCCTCAACAAACTTACAAATAGCTTGTTCTTGTCTTTCTCAACTAGGTAAGTGTATTCGTTGTACCTTTACCAGTAGCAGAGAAACTACCTATAGTTGGTTAGGAAGGGGCAGGGATGATTTCAAATCAAAAGGAACTTCTTGACTGAGCTTCAAGGATAAGAAGGGTTTCCCTGAGTTTTCTAGTAATAACTGTCTTAAATATAACAAAAATTCATAATAAAGATACCAGCAAAACACCAAAAAACCAGAGAAGAAAGAATTTATGGACGTTACTATCAGGTTAATTTTGATGGGGTAAAGGAGATTTGACTCAGATCCTAAAGAATGTGAATTGTGTAGAATTCTGTAGAATTGTGATATAGGATATCTGATAAAAATTGGATGATTAGAAAAAGAGTCTTGTGTATTTTATCATTGAATTTGTGCCTTTGTGGAAACTATATATGTTGCATGAAGGGATGGTGGGAAGATACTTAAGCTGAGTTTGTCAGGTCTGCTTCTTCACTACTGTAACGCCTCTATGCACATTTTTCTGAACGCTCTCAAGTATGTAAATTCTTAGAATGTTATCAAATAGTGAATTACTTTTTAGTAATTTTATTGTGTGTTAATATCTAAAATAGAGTGTATTTACTTTTCATTTAAGAAGTTTTAGAGTAGAGCTATTTAATACATAGCCAACTTCATGTGAATATTTAAAGTTCCTTTAAATAGATTACTTTTTCCAGTCTTGTGGACAGCTTTAAGGAATATACTTCTTCATGACTGAAGTCTTCCCCCTCAACTCCCCTCTCTTCTCCTAATCTATCTAGGATTATAGCTTCAGTTTGTAGAGATTTAGAGCACCCTCTTAGAGGGAGTGAGTGGGACTGGCCAAGCCATGTGCCAAACTTGACACAGGTCTGTCTAAGGAAGAAAGGACTCATTTTCTAATTTTCAAAGGCACTTTCAGCTAGTGGTGGCTATGTTTAGTTGCCCACATAACTACTGAAGATGTATACTTTTTGGTCAGCTCACCAAGATTATAGTCAGAACTGACATCATCCAGTCTTCTGGGTGGTGTCCCTACCTTGCTGTCTTCCAGAAACCCTGGACCTCACGTTTTTCTGGACCACTAATCTAGTTTGTTAGAACCTTATTTCCACATAAAATAAGTCTCTCCTAATTTTGGGGAAGGTTGCTGTTTTCTGTGTTGTTTTAGTCTGCTATTTATTATTAGTCACTTCCTATTCTAATTCTACTCAGATCTCTCCTCAGCTCTTCCAGTTAATGACACATTTTCAAATTACTGTTTAGAACACAAACTGTAGGAACCTGGGCAAGAATCTTAACCCTTCTGAACATATTTTCTCATCTGAAAATCTTGAGAAAGTAAATAAAAATGAAATTACTCAGCATAAGGCCTGCAAGAGAGAGATTTATTGCTTATCATAATATTAGTGTACTTCTTTTTTACTTTGAGTTTAAGAAATAAAAATATAACCAGGATTTTTCTTTTAGTGTATTTCTTATTTGCAGGGCCCACTTTTAAAATTATGTACAGACTTTAAAGCAAAACTCGCCAAATACTCTGGCTCTCTCCAAATTTCACATGGAGCAGATACATCATTATTTTCCTAGTTTGACTGAATGATATAGAATTGTAATAAACTGAAATATTGTTCAGCTAATACTCTCCCTTCACTGACCATTTTCGCTTTCCTGCTAACTTTGCTTACACAAGTGACTTTCCATGACTCAAAGCATTATGGGTAGAAGTGACTTGTTGCCTTTTTTCTAACAGAAGTTCATCACCTTCTGGTACTTTTAGCATTTTCTCTAAGAAGAGCATACTTAGATAGTAGCTACTTCTTCAGATTAAAATACACATGGGATAGACCTGAATTCAAGCCCAGTTGATATCAGGAACCTAGACATGCCTAGCAGAACCATAGTCAATACTACTAAGTAAGAACTGAATGTTTCTTTGGGATTCTTTGGGATTGCTTATTGCTCTACCAAGAAGCTGACTAATGCACACATCATGGGGAGAGGCATGTGGTCCCTGGCATTTCATTCACACAGTCCCCAGGAGTTATATTCTCTGCCCCACAGCTCCTTGCCTGGATTCCAGATCCCTCCCCACCCTAATTGTGCCACAGCTCAGTGCTGTGCTCCTTACTGGTCTCCTGCATAATGAAGAATGGTGGTTTTCTTCTTGCCAGTGAAACAAGAGTATTGTCTGTCCCGCCATGTGCATCTCATTGGCAGTGTACTTACCCAAGAACATCCTCATGAAATCAGGACCTTTCCTATAAATGACTCTCTTACCAGATGCAAAGACAAAAAAGCAATCTATTATGTGTTACCTAAGATTGAAGTTTTTATTCTGCAGTCTTTTCTGAGAAGTACAGAATCTACTCAAGTTTAGGTTATCACCTTATTGCTTTAAAAAGCACCTAATATTTCTTTCCTAAGGAGTTGTATTAGTTTGCTGTTGTTAGTATAGCAAATGACCACAAGTGCAGTCATTTAAAAAGCAGAAATTATCTTACTGTTCTGGAGGTTAGGAGTCTAAAATGGATCTCAGAGGGCTAAACGTCAAGATGTTGGCAGGATGTATTCCTTGCTCCTTCCTGGGTGGGGAGGGCATCTAGATTCTGCTGTAAACCTTGGCTCCTGACCCCTGGCATTTTCATCAGCTCTGAACGCTGCTTCTGTCCTCAAATCTCTTTCTCTGAGTCTCTTATCTCCTCCTTTCACTTATAGGACCATTAATAGCGTTTGGTCCTTTTTTTTTTTTTTTTAGTGCTTATACAAATTTTTTTTTTTATTATTCATATGTGCATACAAGGCTTGGTTCATTTCTCCCCCTGCCCCCACCCCCTCCTTACCACCCACTCCCCCCCTCCCTCTCCCCCTCAATACCCAGCAGAAACTATTTTGCCCTTATTCTAATTTTGTTGTAGAGAGAGTATAAGCAATAATAGGAAGGAACAAGGGTTTTTGCTGGTTGAGATAAGGATAGCTATACAGGGCATTGACTCACATTGATTTCCTGTGCGTGGTGTTACCTTCTAGGTTAATTCTTTTTGATCTAACCTTTTCTCTAGTTCCTGTCCCCTTTTCCTATTGGCCTCAGTTGCTTTAAGGTATCTGCTTTAGTTTCTCTGCTTAAGGGCAACAAATGCTAGCTAGTTTTTTAGGTGTCTTACCTATCCTCACCCTCCTTGTGTGCTCTCGCTTTTATCATGTGCTCATAGTCCAATCCCCTTGTTGTGTTTGCCCTTGATCTAATGTCCACATATGAGGGAGAACATACGATTTTTGGTCTTTTGGGCCAGGCTAACCTCACTCAGAATGATGTTCTCCAATTCCATCCATTTACCAGCGAATGATAACATTTCGTTCTTCTTCATGGCTGCATAAAATTCCATTGTGTATAGATACCACATTTTCTTAATCCATTCGTCAGTGTGGGGCATCTTGGCTGTTTCCATAACTTGGCTATTGTGAATAGTGCCGCAATAAACATGGGTGTGCAGGTGCCTCTGGAGTAACAGTCTTTTGGGTATATCCCCAAGAGTGGTATTGCTGGATCAAATGGTAGATCAATGTAGCTTTTTAAGTAGCCTCCAAATTTTTTTCCAGAGTGGTTGTACTAGTTACATTCCCACCAACAGTGTAAGAGGGTTCCTTTTTCCCCGCATCCTCGCCAACACCTGTTGTTGGTGGTGTTGCTGATGATGGCTATTCTAACAGGGGTGAGGTGGAATCTTAGTGTGGTTTTAATTTGCATTTCCTTTATTGCTAGAGATGGTGAGCATTTTTTCATGTGTTTTTGGCCATTTGAATTTCTTCTTTTGAGAAAGTTCTGTTTAGTTCACTTGCCCATTTCTTTATTGGTTCATTAGTTTTGGGAGAATTTAGTTTTTTAAGTTCCCTTATATTCTGGTTATCAGTCCTTTGTCTGATGTATAGTGGCAAATATTTTCTCCCACTCTGTGGGTGTTCTCTTCAGTTTAGAGACCATTTCTTTTGATGAACAGAAGCTTTTTAGTTTTATGAGGTCCCATTTATCTATGCTATCTCTTAGTTGCTGTGCTGCTGGGGTTTCATTGAGAAAGTTCTTACCTATACCTACTAACTCCAGAGTATTTCCTACTCTTTCTGTATCAACTTTAGAGTTTGGGGTCTGATATTAAGATCCTTGATCCATTTTGAGTTAATCTTGGTATAGGGTGATATACATGGATCTAGTTTCAGTTTTTTGCAGACTGCTAACCAGTTTTCCCAGCAGTTTTTGTTGAAGAGGCTGCTATTTCTCCATCGTATATTTTTAGCTCCTTTGTCAAAGACAAGTTGGTTATAGTTGTGTGGCTTCATATCTGGGTCCTCTATTCTGTTCCACTGGTCTTCATGTCTGTTTTTGTGCCAGTACCATGCTGTTTTTATTGTTATTGCTTTGTAATATAGTTTGAATTCAGGTATTGTGATACCTCCTGCATTGTTCTTTTGACTGAGTATTGCCTTGGCTATTCGATCTCTTTAATGAATGTCATTGGAATTTTGATAGGAATTGCATTAAACATGTAGATTACTTTTGGGAGTATCGAAATTTTTACTATGTTGATTCTACCAATCCATGAGAATGGGAGATCTCTCCACTTTCTATAGTCTTCCTCAATCTCTTTCTTCAGAAGTGTATAGTTTTCCTTGTAGAGGTCTTTCACATCTTTTGTTTGGTTTACACCTAGGTATTTGATTTTGTTTGAGGCTATTGTAAATGGAATTGTTTTCATACATTCTTTTTCAGTTTGTTCATTGTTAGTGTATAGAAATGCTAATGATTTTTCTATGTTGATTTTATATCCTGCTACCTTGCTATAGCTATTGATGATGTCTAGAAGCTTCTGAGTAGAGTTTTTT